ATAAATCATCGAAACTACACAAAAATAAAACAATAATAATATAATAACAATATAAATTTTAAACCGCGCATTTTATAAATAGATCACTATATTTATTAACCGATAAGGTGTACAGTGCAATCAATGTTTTCTTACACTGTGACGAAACACTGTGTATGAACGGTTCGGTCACTGTTAGTTTATTACAACAATATGTACACGGTTCACTGTCCATAAAACCGACATTAAACCGAACTAAAATAATTAGTTTACGAGTCGTACATCAAAACCTTCTCTGAACCGTCTGGGTTTTTCATGAATGTTAATCAACAGTGTTAGCACTGGTATTAGAACACAGTTTTAAATAACCGACGTTAAACACAAGAATTGCTACTCGGGACGTTTATCACGGCCGCCACAAATTATCGATATTCCCGGCGGCCGGGATCGAAACCACGGCCCTCGAGTCAAATGTCCTAACGCCTAACCTACATAGCCACCTACTGAGATGGAAATCTAAGTCAAATCTATGACTCTTAAGGGCGTTTGACTACCATGTCCGCCGCCTTCGAACGTTCAAAACGCTAGATTTGCGAAAAAAATCGAACCTACACGGTACCTACTCTCGTTTCCGACACACTACTCCACCCCGGGACTCGTCTGTGGCTATAAATATAGCAGGGAACGCGAATAAGTAGTCGACGGGGAGGGTGATACGACCGAAAGGGGCTAAAACTCTAATTTTCGAAAAAACGGCAAAAAGAGCAGTCATATAGTCGTACTATTTAACTGCCAGAGTTTAATCAGTTCTATTAGATCTATTAGTTTATTAATACCGTATTAAACAGTATTTAACCTAAAAACTGTAATATATCAAGTAGGTAGGTACTATATGTAGGTTAGTTATATTATATTGTATTTATAAAAGAAACATATAGGTGCGTTGGTCACGGTAAAATCAAGTATTATTATTATTATTTATAAAATAGTATAGTATCATTATACAATTTAGTTACAATTTAAAATATCTACTTTAATATATATTAATATTTTTTTGCCAAAAAAAAATAAATGTTACGAAAAAAAAACACAAAAAAAAAATTCGATTTATCACGGCCGCCACAAATTTTCGAAAATCCTGGGCGACGGTTTCGAACCCACGACCCTCGGGTTACCTATCCTGACGCCTAACCAACCTAGCCACCTACTCAGATGAAACCCGAGTCAATTCTATGACGCTTAAGCCGCGTCGCCGTGCTCGCGAAAGGCGAACGCCGTTTGGACGGCCGTCAAAGGGCGTTTGAGCGGGCGATCCGACAGCGTCGGCGAGCGGACGACCGGCTCCGCCGCCCTAAGACGTATAATTCGCGAGCTTGGCGAAAAAAATCGAACCTCAAGACCCACGTATTTATGTCCGTATATAGCGGTACCGCTATAAAAGTAGGGCGGCGAGCCGACTATAAATTTACCAAGGAAAGCGAATAAGGTCCGAACGGGGCCGACCGAAACCCCCGGGTGGGGTTAAACTCGAAAACTTTGAAAAAAAATCGTGTAAATAGGTCGAAACGGCGAAAAGCGATAAGGAGGAGTGATAACGCGATTTCCCTCCATTTTCGTCTATAGCGGTTCGGAATTAATCCATAGGCGGCGCCACACGGGTTTTCGTTTTATATAGTAAGAAGACTAGCTCTCCGAGCGTCGCTGGGGGACACCCCCAGACCCCCGAGAGTTGGTCACGAGTGTTTTCGATTTCGGAAGGAGCAGTGGTCTCTAGGTGCGGGTAATGGGTCTCGGCCGACACGGTTTACGGGTGATTTGGAGGTCTTGTGATAAGGATCTGTGATAAAAAAATATATATATTATAAGGATAGTGGATAAGTGATAAAAAGTTATGGTAAGGACATGAACATTAGAGGGAGGACGCCGAACTGTGTATATAAAAGTGGTCCGGAATTATCGCATTCCGCCAGAATGCGCGTCGGACCGTAATGATGTCGTTTTTACATGTACAGCATAGGGAATTTATTGGTTTTTTAATATTATATTCTAAATGGTGTAACTTATGAATAATTACTATAGAACATTTTTTTAAAACCAAATTGCCCTCGATCGAATATATGTGTTTCCAATAATATACGACTTTTATAAAAAAAGATATAGTTTTTGTCTCTTTTTATAAAAGTCGTATATTATTGGAAACACTTATATTCGATCGAGGGCAATTTGGTTTTAAAAAAATGTTCTATAGTAATTATTCATAAATTTCACCATTAAGATTATAATAATAAAAAACCATTAAATGTCCTATGCTATACAATATGTAAAAACGACATCATTACGGTCCGACGCGCATTCTGGCGGAATGCGATAATTCCGGACCATGTTTTTACGCTTCGTTCTGCTGTGTTCGGCGTCCTTCCTCTAATGTTCATGGGTAAGGATATCGGATTTATGATAAGGACGGTGGATAAGTGATAAGGATAATTGATTTTTGATAACACATATTGATAAGGCTATCGGATGTTTGATAAGGATTGTGGATTAGAGATAAGGATAGTGGATTTGTGATAAGGATAGTAGATTAGTTTAATAGTGGATTAGTTAACCGGATGGTTGTCAAAGTTTTTTACTTTTGCGATTTGTTTGGGGTCTAGCGGTCAGTCACGTTCCTCGACTTTGGTCTTAGTCACCCTTAGGTCACCCATCTATGTTATCCGGGTAGTGACGGCGGGTTCAAGGCATCGGGGATATAATTTACGTGAAAATAAGTTTTAGGGTCTAGCAGGTCTGCCACCTTCCTCGACGAAGTCGGATTGCGTACAATATTCAACGGCTGGGGCATGTCATCACGTATGCGATTCGACGCAGTTCATTCGGACGAAGTTTTTTTAAAACGCAAAATTTAGTAATAAATTACGTGAAAAAATATTCAAAACATTTCGGGCGTCCATGCAAATCATATAGCCACCGTCTTTTTATTTGGTGTCTAGCAGGTCACCCATCTTTGTTATCCGGATAGGCAATCCGACTCGATGTTGGACGTAGTCACTCGGGTAGACGACGTGACGACGTGTTACGGCCTACTCACGACCAACAGGTATGCAATCATTACTGACAGCGTTCATTACTGTTACTGAAAACGCAAAAGTAAAGATTAAATTACGTGAAAATAAATTCAAACAGGTTAGTCACCTTCCTTGACGTTGGAGGTAGTCACAATGTGTGACGTCCGTATATCAGACAATGTTTTTTAGTGTCGTCGAAAACGCCAAATTACGTAATGAATAACTCGAAAAAATAATAATAACATTTCGGGTGCCCGTGCTAATCGTAATATAGCCGCCGTGATCTGTTGAGTGTCTAGCAATCAGTTACCTCGATTGATGATAATGTTACGTCTTACTTGGGTTTGTTCCTTCGTAGACAATTTTGAGTTGTTATCCTCTGTTAAAGAATGAGTTCGCTCTCTCGAAAGTACTACAGTACGCTATTGAAACTTATTATTACAGGAATTGAATTTTAACTCAATGCTCAATGAATTTAAATGATAATAATACTTTTATTTTTATGTAAAACGTACACACAGTAATCGAGTCTAAGACTATTTTACGACTGGCTTATGTACTATGCATTATTCGATGGCGACGTACGTCGTCTTACAAAAGTGCTTACCCATCTAAATTCTACGTTACCTATATTATATTACTATAAGAACAAGCGGTTCCTAACACCCCCCATGTAAAATGAAAGTCTATGGCCCATAAAATCGATCAAACAAGTCTGGGTGATGGACTTTCACATTGATTACTAAGTTCTATATTACATTTTGGCTAATGTCCTTTCCTTATGACATAAAATTGTATTCTTATTATAAATTATTAATACTAATATACAACCTATATGTTGATAGTATCAGAATAATAAATAAGTAATCGTACGATTTGTTATTTTTGTTTTCATTGACATGACTTATTTGATTCTGTAATTCATCTAGGGATCTCGAATTTTCTACCAATTTGTTAAGATTATTTTTAATTTTGTAATTTTCTTTTGGAAATAATGAATAATTTAAGTTTTCACGGGGTAGATCCTTTAGCATATCAAAATTTATTGAAAGGTTTAAATATGGGGAGGAGTTTTTCACTATCTTCGAATTTATTTCTCTTTTAGGTATTCATTTTATTTCATCGTCAACAGTATTGGCCTCACAATTATTTTCTAGACTTAAAATACCAGTGCCACTTACATCTATTGTATATGTGTCGGATGAGTTTTTGCATGTTATTATTATACTTTCGTTATTTGTAACCTATCCATTCGTTCCTATTATCTAGCTTATGCCAAATATTATGGCTAAACTTAATATACTTAATATTACATGCTGGGGGTACAGATTTGGGTTTTCTGAATAACATTAATTCACAAGAATCTCCAACGTGTTGTATGGGTTGTTCATGTTTACAGATCATTGTGTTTGTAGTTGACTTACATTTAGCTAACTGATAATTATTTAATTCTACATAGTACAATCGTGACTTATCTATTGCAACATACTCTGAGTTGGCTTGCATAATGGCATATAAATTATTATGTACTTTAGTCGGTAGTGGGATGGATTTATATAATACAAAATCATAACTACTTACTAATGGTATTTCAATAATAAATATTAAAATTCCTTATATATAAACTACATTAATATTGATTATACGCAGTAGCTCCGATATACCTGATTCTAACAGATCCACTGGTATCCCTGAACCTACTGGTATTTGCAACTTAATTTCTTTTAATTGTTTATTAAATTCGTCGGTATCCAACAAACTAGAATGTATAAAACCTTGTAACGCTGCATTTACAATATTTACTAAATTTTCTGTCTCGTATGCATATTGTGTTATGATAATGTTTAACAGTGCTATACGTTGTGCTAGAGCTTGTTTAAATTCAAGTATGCCTACTCTCTTTCTTTCTGTAATTGCCTCGTTTAGTAAGTAATTATACCCTTTCAATAATGTTTTTTATTTACTTTCTAATTCTACTAGGGAGGAGTTGACATTGGTAACTATCGATTTTGTAATTTGTGTTTGTGTGTCTGCTATTTGAGATATGCGTGCTCTGGAGTGTTCTAATTCTTTAATTTTTTTATGAAAATATTCTGCATCTACGTCGTCGCAGACACCAAATAATACATTTGCAACCCGTCCAACTATGTTAATAAGACCTCTTTTGGTACGAACATTTTGAGTTCTGGGACGTTCAACGATTTTTAGAACGTGTTCTTTATTGGTATTAATTTCATTTAAAAAACCGATTACTTGACCACTATGTTGTGCACATATGTGTTCTGTATATTCTTTGTCGAGTTGTTCACCTAGTTTGCATGACTTTTTTATTTGGTCCATGATTTTTTGTATTCGAGATTGCTTTTCGTTATAGTTTGAGATGTTTATATACGTAAGCAGTTCCAATGTGAGCTCGATAGTTGTAGATTACCGATTGTCTGAAAGAATATGCCTGACGGGTGTTCTATGAGTGAGTTTGAAAATTGAGTTGAGATAGAGTGAATATGTAGAAAAAATCTGCAACATTATTAAATTAAGATTAGAGGATGATTATATTTTCATTTAGCAATTTTTATTTCATTCTTGTGTATTTTAACTTCTTTTCTACCACGTTGTATCGAAATGTTTTCATTTTCGTGTATACATGTCACCTTGAAAGGGCCCAACCATTTGGTGCCTAATTTCCCTTTCTGTTGATGATTCTTTATCCACACGTTATCTCCAACTTGTACTTCTATTTGGCAATTATTTTTGTCATAATTTTTCTTTGATTTGTGTTTCGCAGATATTATAGTGTCTCGGGCAATCTTGTGAGCTTCTTGAAGTTTTTGCTTCAACTCGGCTGAATAGTCATCGTAATTATATCGAATCGTTGGATTGCGAGAGAGAGTATGTGGTACCACTGCAGGAAAACCATAAACAAGTTCGTACGGCTGGTATTTGGTTGTTGAGTGAACAGTTGTGTTGTATACGAACATAGCATATGGGATGTAGTTATCCCAGTTTTTGTGGTCTTTGTCCACATAGTGTCGCAAGTACTCCGCTAGTGTCCTGTGCGATCTTTCAAGGCTACCGTTCGTCTGCGGGTGATATGGTGTCGTATTTAGTTTCTCAATTTCTAATAATTTACAGCATTCTTTAAACAGTTTACTTAAAAATTCGGTTCCACAGTCTGTTAAGATGGTTTCTGGAATACCATGTTGGCATATAAATCCTTTAACTAGCGCCTTAGCAACGGTTTGCGCATCATGAGAGTGTAACGGGAATGCTGAGGAAAATTTAGTGAGGTCGTCTTGTATCGTTAGTATGTACGAATTTTGTTTCTCCGATACTGTTAGTGGCCCCACTATATCAAGATATATCCTCTCGAACGGTTTTGACGCAGTGGTGGTAATTACTATGGGTTGGTGGGTTGTTGTATTGTTACTCTTATTTTTCTGGCATGATGAACACGATGCAATATACGCTTGAACATCTTTTTTCAAACCCTTCCAAGTGTAGTGTTGTTTAACCCTTTTAATTGTTCTAGATACCCCTTGGTGTCCACCCATTGGAGAGTTATGGAATTCTTCGATAATTCGGAGTTTTTCTGCGTTCGAATATTCGTCATCTATAAATATTAATATCTTAACTTGAGAGTCTTTAAAAATATATCTAAGCATGGTACGAACGTCATGCCACTGTAATTGATCCAAGTCATACGACATTTTAGACAAAGCGAGGTTTGTGATACCCTCTGACGAGCAAAATTTTTTTAGGTTAATTAGTGTATGGAAAACATTATTATAGGTTACGCTCTGCCAGTATAGCTCTTTGGTTATCAAGTAGACTATGGTTCTTCCCTCTGACACGATGCTAGCAATTTCCGTTAGTGACTTCTTCTGATTTTTAAGTTCTTCGATATGACCGAACTTCCTTTTAAACTCAAATGCGATGCCTTGATTCATTTGGAAATCTTGCGAGGTGCAGTGTCCCAAAACGTACTCTTCAGGTGCTTCGAAAATGTCCCCTGCTATTTCTATGATGTTTTTGTTTGATATTATCCGTTTTGTCTTTTCTTCTAGATAATTCTGGTACGCATTTGAATTTTCTTGTTCTTGTGTTATATTTGTGACGTTTATTCTGCTGAGTGCGTCTGCATTTGTATTTTGGGTTCCAGGCTTGTACACTACTTCATACTCGAATTCCTCTAGTTGTAGTCTCCATCGTATGAGACGAGATCCTGGGTCTTTCACGCTGAACAACCAAGTGAGTGGTCTGTGATCTGTCACTATGACAAATTTTCTGTCATATAAGTATGGTCTGAACTGTTTAACGGCCCACACTATTGCGAGGAGCTCCTTTTCTGTTGTATTGTAATTCTTTTCTGCTTTGTTCAATGTGCGTGAGGCATAGCTGATTGGAAGATCCGAACCAATTTTCCCTTGCGAGAGAACTGCTCCTATTGCCATGTTGCTAGCGTCTGTTGTTACATTGAATGGTTTGGTAAAATCTGGGTGTTGAAGTAATGGTTCTTCGGTTAATATTTTTCTAAAGAACATGAATGCATCTTGACAGAGGTCGGTCCATATAAACTCTTGCCTCTGTTTAAGTAAGTTAGTCAATGGTTTTGATTTCTTGCTAAAATCTTAAATAAATTTTCTGTGATACCCTACCAATCCGAGGAATGCTTTGACTTTTTTCGTGTTACGTGGGACAGGATAGTTAGATATGCATTCTACCTTAGCTCTGTCCGGTTTGACACCATCTTCTGTAATTACATGACCTAAATAATTGACTTCACGCCTCAAGAATTCACATTTTGGTGGTTGCAATTGAAGGTTAAATTTCCTGAGTCTAGCGAATACTTCTCGTAATTGATTTATATGTTTTTGTAAAGTGGAACTTATGACTATGATGTCGTCCAAGTATACAAAAGCTCTGTATCCATTAATCCCTTGTAAAACTCTATTCATCAACCTCTGAAATGTTGCCGGTGCACTTTTCAGTCCGAAACACATTCGGTTAAACTCAAAGTGCCCTTTATCCGTGCTAAATGCGGTTTTTTCTTTATCATCCGGGTGTATTGATATTTGGTGATAACCACTGGCCATGTCCAGACAGGAAAAATATTTAGCTTTCCCTAACTGGTCCAAGATGGCCTTGATATCAGGCATAGGAAATGCATCTCCTACCGTGAGGTTGTTGAGTTTTCGGAAATCGACTACGACTCTGTATTTCTTATCACCTGTTGAGTCTACTTTTTTTCGGAACGATCAACAGAGGAGCGTTCCAGGGACTTTCGCTCGGGCTGATTATCCCATCTTGTATGAGGTGATCCACTTGTTTGTCTATTTCTGCCTTTTGGGCGTAAGGAAGGCGGTACGGTCTTTGGTAAATTGGTTGCGAAACGCCAGGTGTTTTTATTTCATGCATCACTGCTTCAGTAGACCTTATCTTATCTCCTTCTAGAAAAAAGATATCTGAGAATTCGTTACATAGATGTTCTATAGCTTCCTTTTCTTCCTTATTCATGTGGTCCCATTTTATGGCATCCTTTATTAGCTGAATGCGATTTTCTTTGTTTTCAGCAATTTTATTGGTGCTTATACTATTAATTTTTATTATATCGAAAACCTCGTGCGTTAGATTTGAAAGTTTTAGTTTTGTTAGCGTCTGAGGCTCTTCTGTTGGATTCATTACATTTATTAATATTTCTTGATTTTTTATTGTATTTAATACATTAGCGCATAATATTTTCTTATTTATCTCTTGGGCATGGACGAGAATGATTTGTTGCTCAGCTAAATCTTCATTGTCCACTTCAACCGAAACGATCATCTCGCTACGTGCTGGTATCGTGCTTACGTTGTCTGTTGGGGTTGTTATTTCTCCTTTACCCACGTTAATGATAACTTCGTTATCCTTTAGAAAAGGGTTTCCGAGTATACCATCTCCCGTGATCGGAAAAGAGTTATCAACTACTTGAAATTCCGTTTCATATGTTTTGTCATTAATTTCTATCGTTAGCACCGTGCCACCTAATGTGCGGACTAATTGGTCATTGATGCCCTGCATGTTGTAGGTTTTTGTTTCCGATACCAATATATTGTCTTTCAGAGAGTCCAATTTTATTAAGTTGAGTTCGGCCCCTGTATCCACGAGTAAATTTGCGAAGCCCATGACGCACTGTGTTATACCGCATGAGACGTGATTATTTGTTAATTTGGTTTTAAAAGTTAATATTCTTGATTTTGGGCAATCAGTTTTAGTTCTCGAACCGGGCGGATGCCCGCCGTGCCCGGTTCTTTGTCGTTTCCCGATACTGATGGTTGGCTTTGAGTACTTTGGTTGGATCTCCTTGCGTCTGCGTTTTTCTTTTTATAGCATTCATCCACCACATGACCAGATTTTTTGCAATACACACAGGTCCTTTGTTTAGTCTCTTGGTTACTTTTGTAATCACTTTCTTTCATTGGTTTAGACCGTTGACCTGTATCCACGTTACGTTTTGCATACTTACACTCATTTGTATTGTGATTGTTTTTATGGCAGTTTTTGCAATATTTACCGGTACTGCTGGTACTTTGTTTATTCTGGATTAGACGTTGCGCGTCTTTATTTGACAGATACATTTTTTCATCTTCTAAGCTTTGTTTAATTGCTTCTTCTATATTTGGTAAATTTCTAGATTTTATAATTCCTCTGATGCTATTTGGTAGACCCTCTATAAATATTGTTAAAGCTGTTTCTTTTATAAAGTTGTTAATAGTTTTGGCCTCTGTAGATGATTTTCCGTTCACACTGACGTTGCAAAGTTCGTGTAACAGTTTTTCTACCCTCGACGTATATTGTTGAATTGTTTCGCCATGGCGATATCGAGTTGTAGATAGTTCTAATAACAGATACCCTGGTGTGCGTGTGGCACAGTACGACTCTTCTAGAGTTTTCCTTAGCATTTCCCACGATAAAATATCCTTATGTTGAGTTACCATGAAAGCATTACCTACCAGTTTGGTTTGGATCGCTTCTAACATTATGGGTTGTGTGCTTTCTTCCATATTTTTCATGACAAACTCACAAGCATTTAAAAATGAATATATTTTTGTGGATTCTCACCATCGAAAATTGGGATCATATTAATTGCAGTTTCAAAAGATAATTTAACTGGTGTTGGGGCCATTGTTTTAATTGGTTCTGTGATTGTAGTTTTAATAATAGAATTTTTAGATACTGGGTTATCTTTTATATTTTTACTTTGAGATCTTAATGATCGATTACCTGAGGAATTATCTAGATTTTTTAAATATCGAGGTTCAAAATTAGGATCTTTTTCAATAGAATCAGGGGTACTTTCGTCACTACTGCTTGAATTATTTGACATAGGTTACTTAATTACTAGTTATTATTATTCACTAGGATTAAATAATATACGATTAATTATTATGTTAAAATAACTTACAGTACTGATAGTAAGACACTACTTGTGTTCGACGTCTTCATCTTTGTTGCGACTTTCCTATGGTCCGTTACTTGGAAGTTGGTTCCGGTTGACCCCGAGTTGAAATCTTGTGAATGGCACGTTGTCCAGCGACGTCTTCGAGTTTCCTCTTTTGACGTTTTCCGTCCCAAAATAACTGGCACGAAAACCACGTATATGTGGGTTTATTGATATACGCGTATTAATGCGTATATTTATTTGTGTATAATAGATATCTTATTGCAATATAGTGTCACGGTCAAGGCTGACGAAATCGGGCTGCTGACAAGGCTAATCGACGACAACGATGGTATTGTTGTTTTTTTTTTTTTTTTTAGCGTCTCTAAAAGCGAAAGACAGGAGACAGGAAAATTACAAACGTTGTCCTCACTAAAATATTTTAAAGCGCCTCCGCGCGTGACGTTGGTCGATGGTAGTGACAGCTGGAATGTGTGGCCCGATAGTTTTGTTGATGTCAGCAAAAGTTGTCGTTACACAATTTTGCGTAATGTGCTGCGTATAACTACATGCAGTAAATGGTCGTATAATACGTATATATATATATATCTGCGTATTATGACGTATAGACGTATATAAACGTGTGGACGTATAAAAACGTATGGACGTACAGTAACGTATTGATACGTAAATTACGTATATTAAGTATATTGATTTTAATGAAAGACTGTGTGTTCACCTGATTGACAGATAAGTTTCACCGTCCTGAAGTATTCTTCAAAGAGCACCGCTGCCACCAGTTGTTATGTCTTACTTGGTTTGTTCCTTCGTAGACAATTTTGAGTTGTTATCCTCTGTTAAAGAATGAGTTCGCTCTCTCGAAAGTACTACAGTACGCTATTGAAACTTATTATTACAGGAATTGAATTTTAACTCAATTAATTTAAATGATAATAATACTTTTATTTTTATGTAAAACGTACACACAGTAATCGAGTCTAAGACTATTTTACGACTGGCTTATGTACTATGCATTATTCGATGGCGACGGACGTCGTCTTACAAAAGTGCTTACCCATCTAAATTCTACGTTACCTATATTATATTACTATAAGAACAAGGGGTTCCTAACAATAACATGCATAAGCAATCCGACTAAACGTCAGATCCACTACTCCGAAGCCGGGTCGTAAATGAAAATAGTATATTTACCGTGCCAAAAAATGTAAGTCGGGACAGTGTGCTTCACTGTGGTGTTCACGACTAACTCATCCTTTAAATTATCTAATATAATAATATATATTATGTATATAGGTTAGTCCGTATTATAATATGCTTACTTTATATAATAAAATATCAGATACTATATATTATTTATTACTATACTATATCCATTGAGTACACAATGCAAACGACATGCATACTTACGTGCATCTACATAAGACATAATTCATAACGCATCATTATAAAATATATGTCTATGCTAAAATCCGATTGTCTTATGGATATTCACTTAAAATCACTGATAAGGCCCGTAATCACTAACGAATAAACGAAGATGTTCTGAAATAATAGCATACTGTATTTCCATCAAGAATTTCAGCGTTGCATTGCCAAACTCGATCAGCTGGTCGGGGTTTTGTTTCCCTGTGAACCTCCGAAAAACATGGAAACGCTTCCGCGCACCAACATGGTGTTAGACCCGAGGTCTCCCGTATTATGTGAACGTTTGTTAAAAGTCACGCCTGCGGTAATGATATAGCGATAGCGAGCGGACCGACGATAAACGGTCGGTGATAAGGCTTTGGCGGTATGTTTGAAAACCACGTGTATCAATAAATTCGAGTGATGGGCCTATAGCATTATTATCACCATATGAAAAAAGTTTGCGAAAATGAAATAAGAACGATGGCCTAAAGTGTAAGGTTTAAAGCCGTGTTCGAATGAATAATACGAATATAAAATATCAATATAATAATAATATGTGTACCTATACAATAAATTAATTAATCAGCCGTGCGATATCGTTACCCGCATGGGTTACCTGCCTTGACTCTTATTGTTATTGTCGCCGTTCTAAGACAAAGGACTGCGCCGACGTCCGACTAACCGTTCTCAATCGTCCGACTAACCGTTCTCAATCGTCTGACTGCCGTTGAGATCTGCCGATGAGTTTTGTCGTCGAAGCAACGGAAACACGTGAGTATACAATGTTAATATTAATGTTATAAATATTGTATTATTAATTTAATTCGTTGCTTTTCAAAACATGCTTTCTGAATTTAATATTTTACCTTATAGTTTCGTTTTACTATACACTTTTATACACATTTATTGCTTTTTATTTGTCAACTTCAGAATGAGTAACAACGTATAAAACATTAGCGGCAATTGCCAAGCGTAGGTACATCAGGGCCTTGTTTTTTTAACACGTTCAATGCGGATCGTATATATCAATTAATAAATTATTTTAATAATATAAATGTTTATGAATTAATACTAAAATATCTCTTATTATAACAATATATAAATTTGCGAAGAAAATCGAGCCTTAGTTTTGTCTGCAACACACGCTCTCTGTGACAAACAAATTGAATATTTTTTTGTTTTTACACTCACCGCCGATCGTATTTATCAAATATTATTATTGTTATTGGATACATTTGCGAAAAAAACCGTGGCTTAGTTTTAATGTGCACCACATGCTTTTTGTTAAACGAATTTAATATTTTATAATATCACCAACCTAATAATGCAGATCAATTGTTTTTTTCAACATTCTTTATTTGTTTTTATTTATTAACTTTAGAATGAGTACGTTCAACTTCAACGGTAATTATGTCGTGTACATAAATAGGGAGGAAGACCGCGCCCGACGTAAGCATACATTTGGTTAATAATTAAAATTAGAAACGATTAAAATTATATCTCCCGTTTCAGGATGTTACAACTGCGGTAATGACGGACACCTCTCCCGGGATTGCGGTGAGTGTTTCCTTTACATATTCCTTAATAACAGTCTTAATATTATGTATATAATTGTAATTTATATTGTAGCCAAGTCCAGAGGTGTAGTTGGTGGCGGCGGCGGAGGCGGCGACGGCAATGGTCGTGATGGTGGCAGGTGGTGAGGAGGTGGTGGTGGCGGCGGCGGCAGTGGTCGTGATGGCGGCAGGCGGCGAGGAGGTGGTGGTGCTAAGCCCCTCTCCAGATCCCGCTCCCCAACATCTCTGCCATCGTCATACGTAAGGATATATATTTTTATTTAAAAATAAATCTAGTTAGATTTTTATAGAAATGTCATTATAGAAAACGAACAATTTTTAGGAGGTCAATCGGTCGCGAAGCCGAGCGTCCACCGCTCCACCGTCCAACGACGTAAGTATGTATTAGTATACTCTTTAAAGATAATTTAGTAAAAAATTTAAAAAAATAATCTAGTTTTCGAAATTGATAAATCTAATTAAACAAATTATTTTCAGGAGCAGCTGTTGTACGTGACGGCCAGCCAGTCGCCACCGGCAAATGTAAGGATATATTTATATAATATTTAAGTGTTTGATATTGATAATTCTAATTGAGCACATCATTTTCAGGAAATAATCAGTGATGCCTCCTACATGGCCGGGGCAATGAGATGTAAGGATATAATATAAATACTTAAGTTTTTGAAATTAATAATTCTAATCAAACATATTATTTTCAGGTTCTGAGAGCAGAATCGCAAAATCGATGTAAGTTTTTAACAGGAATATTTTTTTCTCAACAAACAATTTTCTACGTTTATTCGTTATGTTTTTTTTCAGATGATCAATAAAATAATGGGATAAAAAACATGACTATTTCATTTACAATTATATTTTCTTTTCCTTTTCCTTTCCAACTGGATAGTTTTTAATTACTATAATATGTGTACTGCGCGTACGGTATGAATGATTTTTTAAATTTCTATTAGTTACCAATACATATAGTTCATACTATTGCAACACAATAATTTATATGTGTGGTGTGTGGATCAAATAGGATAATAGTTATAAGGGTTCTAAGGATGTCAGTGAAATTAATTACCTACCTAGGTAGGTATTGCATAGAATGTCTAAAGTATGTAACAAATAAATAAATACGACGTCATCAAAAGATTATAGAATTAATAGACTACAATGAGTAAAACAAATACAACCTCAATTATTGTAAAAATATTGACTTATAATATAAAATAAATTACACAACTATTAAATATTGTTTTAACTTTTTTACATAAGAATACCTATGATATTATAATAAGTATTAAAAATAGTTAACAGCAATTTGTACAGTGGCATTACTCCACTAAAATAAATAAATTAGCAGTCTACTATAATAGTCACTATAATATTGAATGGTACTTGAAAAAGTTTGACATAAAAAAGTAAATAATATATGTGTTTCCGTCTCATCTGAGAGTTACTATTATTCACAGCAATGACCACAAAGTGACAAAAGAAATTATATCCATTCACGGTGACGTAGTATGTAGTAACACACTACATAATATTATAATTGTTAGATAATAAAATAGTGTCATCAATGGTGTCATAATATTATGTGAAACAGTAATAATAATAAGAAAAAAATTAATCAACAGCAACTAACAAAATGTTGTATTACACATTACAATGTATTACCTATTAGATTAGATTAGATATAAAACGAAAAAGAAAGGAACACAGCTATTAAATGGTGTTTATACAAAAAATATCTACAACAGCCGTTCGAACACTGCCATAAAAATTTAAATAACATAATAATATGCAGTATCTTATCATTTATACACCTAGTACCTATCTACGCTTTGTTATTAAGATATGCACTGTATGAATGGCTTTTTAAATCGTTATTAGTTATTCCTACTATTACAGTTAAATGTTGTGCTTACAGCATTTGTTGTCAAAACAATGTATTCAATT